TCTTCCACATATCAGACACTACACCTGTTTGAAGAGATAAATTAAAAATATTAGTTAATGGTTCACAGAGTTCCATTTTGCATTCCTTAAGAACCCTTGAAAAAACCTCATCAGGACCCGGCGACTTATTTTGCTTCAGTCGGTCTATCTGCTTCACAACCATTTCACTAGTGACTGTGATGTTACATAATTTATCTTCTTCAGGCCCACTATAAAAATTTATTTCTGGAATATTGTTAGTGTCTTCCTGTGTAAAAACCGAGAGAAAATAATTATTTAAAATCGAGCACATTTCATTCTCTTTGTCAGTAAGATGCCCATAGTTATTTTTAAGGGGACCTATCTTATCTCTAACTTTTGTTCTATAGACCTGGAAAAAACTTTTTGGGTTAGTTTTCGAATCCCTAGTAACTTTAATTTCATAGTTCCTTTTAGCTTTTCTTATCCCCTTTTTGATGTCCCTCTTAATGTCAATATACTGATTCATAAGATGACCCTCACCTCTTTTGATACGCCTATAAATTCCCTTCTTATGCCCTAATAGATATTTCAGCCTATTATTCATCCATTTTGGGTCATTTCTATTTGATCTAATTTCTTTATATGGGATAAACGTTCTTTGAGCAGCATGTATAGTGTTCAGAAAACTGTCATATTGACAGCTCTCTTCGTTGCCCCAGTCAACAGATGATAAGTGTTCTCTAAGCCCATCGTAATCTGCTAAGCGAAAATCTGGGACTGTTACTGAGTTATCCCTACTATCATACTTCCATTCAATGCTAAATGTAATTGATTTGTGGTCGCTAGCACCCAGTTCCTCTGAAATTTCTAAATTATTAACAAGGGATTCATTGTTTGCCAGAACTAAGTCAAGCAGGTTATTTCCCCTTGTAGGTTTCTGTCACAAACTGCTTCAAGAAACAATCCTGAACTACTTCTAAGAGGTCATATGATTCTAAATTTCCAGTCAAGAAATTCCAATCAATATGACTAAAGTTAAAGTCTCCTAGAATTACTACATTATCGTGCCAAATATCATATTCCTTATCACTGTCAACTGCCTCAAATGTTCTATTGAAGAACATGGATAGGGCATTCTGCTTGAAGGATAGGAGTAGGAGGCAGAGAGTGTGTTTTCCTGGGGCTGGGATGAAGGATATTGTTAGCCGTCTGGATGACATCATGAGAGGTAATGGGAGCAATCCTATTATCTGTCTCAGTGCTGGAGGCAACGATGTTGGCAGACGTAGGGGTGAGGACCTGATTAGCAGGTATAGGTCAGCAATAGAGATAATTAGGAGGAAGGGTGGGAATCCTGTCATATGTGGCATTTTGCCAAGGAGAGGAGTTGGAAATGAATGGTTGTCCAGGGCAATTGGTGTCAATTGTTGGCTGGACAAATACTGTAAGGAAAATGCAGTAACATTCATTGACAACTGGGACCTCTTCTATGGCAGAAATGACATGTATGCCAGGGATGGGGTCCACTTATCTAGGTTTGGGGTGGGAGCACTGGCCAAACGCAGCTGAGGGAGCAGTTAGGTCTTTAAACTAGAAATAGATAGTGGTATGGGTTTTCGTGGAAAATCAGTGCATTTTGAGTGTAGTGATAATGTGAGTTTTAAGGAAACCAGTTATAGGCAGAATGAGGAAGAGTTATTGATGAACATAGGAAAGCCCATAGGAAAGCATTAGGTGATAAGGAGAGTAACAAACATAGTGGAGGAACAGAAATCAGGAAGAAAAAAGAGAAGGGAGGGTCCTTGAATATATATTACACAAATAGTCGTAGTGCTAGGAATAAGATAGACGAGTTGAGACTAGTTGCTAGTGCAGGTAACATTGATGTATTTGCCTTAACTGAGACGTGGTTCAATACGAAAAATCGGGACATGCCTGCTGAATGTCACATACAGGGTTTTAAATTGTTCCAAGTAGACAGAAGTATCGGGAAGGGGGGTGGGGTGGCACTGTAAGTCCGAGATCGCTTGAACTGTTGCATAAAAACGGGTATTAAGTCTGAAGAAACACATACAGAGTCTGTTTGGATAGAATTTTCAGAGGGACATGAAAAATTGATTTTAGGTGTAATATACCGTCCCCCAAACTTAGATAGGTACCAAGGGAGACTACTATGGGAGGAAATTGTTAAGGCCACAAGGCACGATAATGTAGTAATTCTAGGAGACTTTAACTTTAGTCATATTGATTGGAATTTCTTGACTGGGAATTTAGAATCTAACGACTTCTTAGAAGTAGTTCAGGATTGTTTTTTGAAGCAGTTTGTGACAGAACCTACAAGGGGAAATAACCTGCTTGACTTAGTTCTGGCAAACAATAAATCCCCTGTTAATAATTTAGAAATTTCAGAGAAACTTGGTGCTGGCGACCACAAATCAATTACATTTAGCATTGAATGGAAGTATGATAGTAGGGATAACTCAGTAACAGTTCCAGATTTTCGCTTAGCAGATTACGATGGGCTTAGAGAACACTTATCATCTGTAGACTGGAGTAACGAAGAGAGCTATCAGTATGACAGCTTTCTTAACGCAATACATGCTGCCCAAAGGACATTTATCCCATATAAGGAAATTAGATCGAATAGAAATGACCCCAAATGGATGAATAATAGGCTCAAATATCTTTTAGGACAGAAGAAAGGAATTTATAGGCGTATCAAAAGAGGTGAGGGTCATCTTATGAATCAGTATATTGACATTAAGAGGGACGTTAAAAAGGGGATAAGAAAAGCTAAACGGGACTATGAAATTAAAGTTGCTAGGGATTCGAAAACTAACCCAAAAAGTTTTTTCCAGGTTTATAGAACAAAAGTTAGAGATAAGATAGGTCCCGTTAAAAATAACTCTGGGCATCTTACTGACAAGGAGAATTTAATGTGCTCTATTCTTAATAATTATTTTCTCTCGGTTTTCACTCAGGAAGACACTGACAATATCCCAGTAATTAATTTTTATAGTGGGCTTGAAGATGATAAATTATGCAATATCACAGTCACTAGCGAAATGGTTATCAAACAGATAGACCGATTAAAGCAAAATAAATCCCCGGGCCCTGATGAACTTTTTTCAAGGATTCTTAAAGAGTGTAAAGTGGAATTCTGTGAACCTTTAACTAATATTTTTAATTTATCTCTTCAAACAGGTGTAGTGCCTGATATGTGGAAGATGGCTAATGTAATTCCTATTTTTAAATCAGGGGACAAGTCGTTACCGTCAAATTACCGCCCAATAAGCCTAACCTCAATTGTAGGCAAATTACTAGAGTCAATTATAGCTGATAATATAAGAAGCCATCTCGATAGGCATAATTTGATTAATGATACTCAACATGGTTTCACCAGGGGCCGTTCCTACCTAACTAATTTATTAACCAGGCCCTCAGCTAGAGCTCTGGTTGCCATGTTGATGTCGCTGAAGGTCACCTTCAACATGGATGAAGCATTGGGTATCTTGGTAATGTAGTCCACCTTAGCCCAGGGGTTCTGTGCTTCAGTAGATGATTTGATATCTTCAGTGACCTGTGCAGTGATGAGGCTGTCGAGTCGCTTGAGGAATACAGTTCTCCTGGCCCTCAGCGCCGGGGAAGTCAAGACAAGGAATCCCTGGTCACGTAGAGTGGTGGTAGCAGTAGTGGTAAGTAGTTTCTCGGCCTCATTGTCACCAGTGCAGACGACAACAAAGGCCTCTTTGAGCGATAAAATCGTATTACATTTAACCTGCTGTCTGCTACTGATGACAGCTGCAAGTGCTAGTTTGGACGAGTCATTGACTGTCCCACTCACAGGTTTGATCTTTACCCTGTTAGAATAATGCATCGTGAGTAATCGGTCGGGGAATGATCTTACAGACCGGTATTGATATTCTTCCAAATATTTGCTCAACACTTGTTTGGGAAACAGACAAAACCTATTTTCATTAGGCCTAATAAAGACATATTGTATACTTCTTACTTTATATTCATGTATTTAATGTAACAACATTTTAACTTACTGCACATGGAACTATTAATAGTGTAGTATAAAAAGCTCTTTTTTCTGACTTTCATGTTTTTGGCAGCCCTTATAAATCAGCGTCCTGGGCAGCTTCCTGGCTGCCTCGCACCTTAATCTAGCGTTCACTAATGTTAAAATGACAGTTCGCATTATGGACATAAGTTGCAGACAAGATAGTAATTAGAAATTCCAAGCCCCAAATTTGAAACTGTGCGATGTGTATGCGTATGAGGCTATATTAATGGAGACGAAGCAATTGCTTGAGTAATTCATCAATGACTGTGTGAGTGTGTGAGGTAAACTGCCACATCTGTCAACTTCCTAAAATGTAGCCACACTCTTCCCTCAAGGAGGTTCTTGATGCTGGTGAGGGGCTCTTGATCTAGGGAATTGGATCTGTGCTCCAGTTCCCTAAACTGAGCCTGAATACCTTCCATCCCCCCCCCATGCAGGTGCTGTATAATCGCTACGGGTTTAGCGCTCCCCATGATTATAATAATGCAGCCACACTCACTGCCTGTTAGTAACTGGTTCATGGTAGGCTGCGACAACACCTCTATCACAGTTCCCTAAATATGACAGGCATATCAAACCTATCATCATACAATAATAACAATAAACAGAGAAAATGAAATGATGTATTACAACAAAGGCTTGACCATTATCCCCTGTGACGTTAACATTCCCAACAGGAAACATTTATCATTAAGCACTCAACTCAAGGAAGGTTCTTGATATTGGTGAGAGGTTCTTGATCTAGGGAATTGGATCTGTGCTCCAGTTCCCTGGATTAAGCCTGAATACCTTCCACATTCCCCCCCCCCACAGGCGCTGCATAATCTTACGGGTTTAGCGCTCCCCTTGATTATAATAATAATAATATAATTAAACACTAAATAAACAGACGAACACCAGTTAATGTACAGATGTATGTTACGATATGTACTGAAATCACAACTATTTGCTTAGTAAGAAATGAACTTACCTGTTAGAGAGAGTGTGAGTGTGAGAGCAACCAGCACTGCCAAGACTCTCATGGTGGTACTGTGTGGCAGGTAAGAGCTATTTGTCTCTTATATACTAGTAACCGCTCGCTATCTTTTCCACTATCGAAATTGTGAGAATTAATCTCTCAGAGGCATGTCAGTACCCTTTACAAGCTTATAAATTGAGGAATGTGGCAAACTATTAGGTTAATTTTTAGAATAATTAACGAATATTTGTTATCAGTGAATATTAAATCGTTGATGGGCTGGATGCTATTTTAGGTTGTCAGGAATAAGCCTGCACCGGTTCTCACGCACCTGCGGGACACTGTCATCTTTCTTGCTCTCATGACAGGCTGGGTCCAAGGCGCGCCGGTGATAGCAGTGAAGAAAAGACACCTTGAAGAAATAGCTTTTATTGGGACAACATTTTGATCAGTATAGAGCTTCGTCAGGCCATGTCTTGATGATCTACACAGGGCGAAACGTTGTATGCGCATATGTATATACAGGGGTGGAGTCTTAGCTCCTGGTTCCGCCTCTTCATTTGTTCTGGAACGTGTCTTGACCGTAACTGATGAAAGAAATGTTTATATGCTCTGAAAAGCAGCGTCATTATCTACCTTCCATTGCAGTTTTATGTACAGCTTGTACAACCTAATGTGTAATACACACTGGTCAGTAGACACAAATGCATATCGCGTATATTTCCCTTATGCTAAGACCCTCTTTAGCAAAGTATAAAAGAAAAAAAATGTATAACGTCATGTCACACGACCTAAGTCAGGAGTAAGCACAACTGTACTCAAAACAATGGTAATAATAATCGAGATCGTGTTCTGCCACCTAGCTAGCGATTTAAAAAAAAAAACTTTGACAATGGTCCGTCAGTCCTCAGATCTACAGCATTGTGTTGTACCATTGCTGCATAGAGGACAATAAGTCGTACCTCAGTCAGGAAATGCATACATCTGTGTATAAACCCTGAAGGACACATACCTCTGAAGGTATATACACTGAGGGACACAACTCTGGGAGTATGTGCCAGTGGTGCCATACCTGTTTCCCACGGGGTGTGGTTTGTGCCTGCACCACCTGGACCTTCTCACATCTATCTCATCTTCACCTCCACCTACGCTAGCGTAAGAACCGAGTACTGGGGCGCCCATCACAAGAAAGGTTAACGCAATAAATGGAATTTAAATAAACACCTAGATCACTTAATGAAAAAAGGTTAAAGAAAATTAAATACGATAATTTCCACAGTGTGTGTGTGGATTGTAGAGTTGGTAAGCGCATTTGTAAAGTGAAGAACAGTACAAGAGCAATTAACTGCATGCTTAATTGGTAAGGTTAACGTTTCACAATTTGCCCATTGCGTCATCAAAATTTATCGAAGTTGAAAGAATATGCAAGTTACAAATAACATTACTTTTAAATAACTGATGCAAACAGGTACAATAAAATTAAAATGCAAATACAAATAATTTATTTTTCTTCAGTATATAGGTAATGCAGTTTACATGTAATAAAATATTTTTAAGCACAAGAGAAAGCCACTAACATGAGGTGCATTTTGGGCGCATTACGTGAAAAATAATCAAAGTGCGAAAGCTGACTTGAGGGGAAACTTAAACACAAAGTCCCAAAATGTGACTAAGTTACCAATGATAAGAATAACTTATGAGAGGATGGTAGAAATATGGCCAACTTAGTCATATTTTCTTTTTATTATTTTAGGTATGTTTGACATGGGCGTTGACACTTGGATGAGGTTTTACGTAATTCTTAATGTTTTATTCACTGTTATTTTTGTGTTATTTCTGTCATTCTAACTTTTATAGGATATTTTTATCATTGTTATCTTATTTCCCTTTTTGGTTTTCTATGTGTGCCCGACGTGAGAAGAGGAATGTGGAGGAAGTGAATGTTTTAGAAATTTGGGAGTGAACGTTGCGACAGATGGATCTATGAAGGACTGGGCAGGTGGTGTGGTGGGGCATCTATGGACAAAATAAAGGAAATTCTTATATAAACAAGCGGGGAATAAAAGGAATATGCTTCATATTATAGTAATACTCTCATTGGAGTGTGAAGTATGTTCTTTAAACGTTGCAGCAATTACGCTTCAAGTGAAATCACAAGTATATCCCATAATAAACTCTTCAAGAAAAGTGCCTTGATGCCAGTGAAGGGTTCTTGATCCAGGGAATTAGACCTATTTTCCACCTCCTTGGATCTAGCCTGATTGCCATACCTTAGTAAAAGAACCGTAATAACTGAGGATGTGCTGATAATTGTTGAGCACAAATGGTGTTTAAAGTAGGCAGAAGATCACTGTCGTCTTCTAAATGGTTCAAAATTTTTCATTACTTCACAAACTTGGGAACATTCACCATCTTCCATCAGGCACATTGTAATTACAAAAGAAAATTAACTGAATTACCTGTCTTTGCAGCTGTCTGGAATCAAAGTTTTTTCAATTAACTTTTATAGCTGAGAGTGTGCAACACGTCACCTGGACTTGGTAAAATTGTGTTGTGAGTTTAATCAGATATTCTTTATTGGTGTGAGTTTGATGAGAACGAGACTGACTTTGCCTGTAACTTACTTGGTTACGGTCGTATTATCAGTTATTTGGTTGAATATTTCCCTTAGAGCTTCCTATCTAGATGTGAGGTTTACCGGAGACGATTCTGGGGGTCACAGCCCCACTCTGCCAGGTCCCAGACCAGGCTTCCTGGTTGCTAGCCGGATCAACCAGGAAGTTACTGGTAGATGCATGCAATCCAATGTGGGTACCACAGTCCGGGTGATGAAGAACTAACAAGAGGTCACTGATCCCCTTCACTCTTGAGTGTACAGTAGCTAGGGGTTTGCTGGTACTTTCCCTTATGTACGAAAGGAGGGTGTTGAGAAGTATTGGTCCCTTTACATTTAGTGAGTTGTCTTTTAGTATGTTCAACGCATCCCTCCTTTTTACTGAAGGAATTTTGCACCGTCTGTCTATCTTCCTTTTTCTCGAAGTGAGTAATTTCAGTGAGCTCAGATTTGTGATCACTCTCTCCAGAATTTTCAAGGTGTATATTATTATGCATCTTGCCTACGTTCCAGTGAGTATAGTCAAAATGAATTGAGGAGTTCCCACTAAATTAGGTGTCGGACTGAATGTATTCAGACAGTGAAAGTTCCCTGCACTGTCTGTAGTTCTGCGATTTTTGCCTACCCTAAAAGGCACTGTTAATGTGTAAGAATTTTCAGCTTAGAAAGCACAAGTGACTTATAAAATATTATCATTGACTTGGCATCTCTGGTTCTAGAAGTTCAAATTATCCAGCTTATTAATCTCCTTGTGTTTGTAATAGAAACACTGGTGTCATTCTTGAAAGTAAGATTTCCTAATAGCACCACTTCTAAGTTCCTCATATTCCTCTTCCGCTCTACTGAGTGGTTCCATTTGGTTATATTCCTTCCCAGTTATTAATTCTTAATTTTTTCTTAGGAGGAACAGAAATTTGCTGTCACTGAACATCAGCTGTTTTCTGTGACGATGTTATCCACTGGAAGACCTGGTTAATATCAGCTACAGTTTGCCGTGTCCTCACTGGATGATTCTCTCATACAAACTGCAGTAGTTTGTGGAAAAGATTATACAATACCATGACTTATGTCTCTGTATATATCATTTATGAGAATGAGACAGAGAACTAGAGCAAGCACTGTGCCCTGGGGAACAGTCTTTCACTGACGAAGGCTTTGATTTTACTCTGTTCGCATCCGATTTGCTAGAAAATTAAAACTCTAGCTGCCCACTTTTCCACTTTGTACACATCGTGTGCGTTATTACACAATTATTTCATTTCTCTAAGGGTTTTGCAGTCTGAGAAAACTACATATTCCTTTTGTTTCTCTTACATTGCATCCAAAACTATATCGTAATGGTCTAGCAATTGAGAGACAGGAAAGACATGAAGTAAACTTACTGCCTTGAGATTAGCCGTCTTGCTTCTCTAAACTCTTTCAAAGATTTTGATAATGTGGAACGTCAGTGATATTAGTCTTTAGAATTTCGCAATTGCTTTTCTGCCAACTTTGTGGAGTTCTGATACATCCATTGTTTTTAATGATTGTGGGATGACTCGTGTGTCCATACTCCGTCTCCATTGGATATTTAAGGCATGAGATAGTTTGTGTTCTTGGGACAGCAGTCAAGGCACGCAATCAATGGCTTCAAGTTAAATAGCGATATACCTGGAGGGGGTTTCGGGGGTCAACGCCCCCGCTACCCGGTCCGTGACCAGGTCCCGGGGTGAATCAGGGCTTGATCAACCAGGCTGTTACTGCTGGACGCACGTAAGCCCGGCTGGTCGGGTACTGACTTCAGACAGGTACGGGTAGGTTTATGTCTGAAATTCTGGAGGTGTTTGTTGAGTTTAGGGCCTCATCCACGAAAAAAATTAATTCAGATTGTCAATATTTAGTCTAGTTAACGACTAACTGAATACAGAGTCGTATTGCGACTTCAATATTTCTGCAGCATTAATTACTGTAGCGTCCTCCTCAATATTTCTCTTGTGCATACACAAAGACATACACAATTCTTCCCCTCACATACACACCCAAGAAACTGACCTATAGGTGAGTTTGATGGGTGTATATATTCATCATACTCACTTATATACTCATCAAACTCATCTATACACCCATCAAACTCATCTATACACCCATCAAACTCACCTATACACCCACCAAACTCACCTATACACCCATCAAACTCACCTATACACCCATCAAACTCACCTATACACCCATCAAACTCACCTATACACCCATCAAACTCACCTATACACCCACCAAACTCACCTATACACCCATCAAACTCACCTATACACCCATCAAACTCACCTATACACCCATCAAACTCACCTATACACCCATCAAACTCACCTATACACCCACCAAACTCACCTATACACCCATCAAACTCACCTATACACCCACCAAACTCACCTATACACCCACCAAACTCACCTATACACCCACCAAACTCACCTATACACCCATCAAACTCACCTATACACCCACCAAACTCACCTATACACCCATCAAACTCACCTATACACCCATCAAACTCACCTATACACCCATCAAACTCACC